GCTTCAGGATCTGTCCTTCCAGTGAGCACTCAGGGTTGATTTCCTTTAGAATGGATAGGTTTGTTCTCCTTGCAGTCCAGGGGACTCTCAAGAGTCTCTTCCAGCACCACAGTTCAAAAGCATCAATTTTTTGGCAGTCAGCTTTCTTTATGATCCAGCTCTCACTTCCATACATCGTTACTGGAAAAACCATAGCCTTGACTATGCTGACTTTTTCCAATTTCTACCGAGTCCGTTTTGGCAGCAAAGGAGGAACTAACTACTAAAGGACGTCCCTGAGGCACTGCATGGTGCTGCCTGCTGAGAAGCAAATTCGGCAGAATAAAAAATGCCCTCAGTTGCATTCTGGCCTTCATGTTCAGATAAAAGACCATTTTGCAAAGTTGTAATTGCATATCTTGAATTAAGTACATTGGCGATGTCATTTGAATCTTTTAGAAGAGGTAGCTATGTTATCCCGTGCTAGCATATCAGGCCAAAATTAAAAACAATATACAGTCAACTCTCTACTTAGGAACGTAATCCGTTCCAGAAGGACATTAGTACGTCGAAAATTTTGTAAGTCAAAGTACCATTTCCCATTGAAATGCATGGCGCCTACTGAGGTCTCAAAGGGCTTTCCTCCCAACATCAGAGGAAGCTGTTTGAGACCTCCAAAGGCAAAAAGGCGGGGAGAAAGGATGGAAAATTTAAATTCCCCACACTTTCTCCCTGCCCTTTTGCCTTTGGAGATCTCAAACAGCTTCCTCCGATGTCAGGGGTAAGTGCTTTGAGACCTTCGAAGGTGCTGATCGCTCTGTTCACAAAAAATGGTATTGACTTGCAAATGGAGCCTCGACCTAGTTCATAGGTCGAGGCTCCGTTCGCAAGTCAATGGCAATTTTTGCGAACAGAGCCGTTCGTAAATTGAAAAGTTTGTAAGTCGAGGTCCCACTGTATATAAGTTGAGGTCCCACTGTATATAAAGAAGACAAAAATGTTGTGACACTGTAAAGACTAATTGCTATATTTTAATATGAGCTTTTGTGGACAAGTCCACTTCCTCAGATCCCTTTGAATCTTTGTTTACTTATACACACTGAGGGAGGAACAATACATCTACACAGAGAAAAGTATACATTGGTTTTTCATCTGCATATTATACATGCCAGAACCTTAAGAATAATATCAAAATGTTAGTACAAAGTTCTCCGTGAAAAGTGGGAGGTCTCCAGATGAGACTTCTGTAATGCAACTGCCTTTCGTTGTTCACAGGTTGTGTTCAGACATTATAATTTCACATTGTAACCATTTCATGGTTTTGATTGCTTTTTTCTCTCTATTTTCCTGCAAAGGAGGTCATAGTATGACCAGGAGTCATAGTATGCAAACAAAATTTAATTCTCTTATGTTTTTATTTTTCTGCTAACTTTAGATGTCTTTAAAATATTGATTGGCAAGCTATTTTCATTTCAGAGAGAACCTTGCAATGTAAGGGATCCATGATAAAGTGTCAGATATGAAGAATATAGAGAAAAGGCCCAAAACATGATAATTGTTATTTTAAATCTTTCTCTTGACTTCAGTATTATTGGGCTTTGTTTTGTTTTGTTTTGTTTTTGTTTTGTACCTTTTCTCCTTTTCTGGTTTGGCATGCTGATTCAAATGGCACTTCCTTGTTGAGCTGGGAACATTGTAAAAAGTAATGAATAACAAAGAATGTTCTGTGTGTTTTACCTGCTTCTGAAATATGCTTCGGGTCATTCCACCCCACCCCTTTTGCTTATCTTCAGTCAGTCTCACAAGACTTTGAAAGAAGGAAGGCTGGATTAAAGGGATTTATTACTGTACAGCATTTCTGCTGCAACTGCCAAGATGTGTAGAACTGAAATGCATCTGTGTGAAGGATTGTTTCTGCTCATGTCCCCTTCCATAAGGTCTTCTGGTTTTGGCCTCATCACTGAAATACAATTCTTTTAATCGCTAATCAAATGGAAAAATGGGACTGTGGATTGTTTCCCACAATCTTTGTTTGCAGTGAAACCAATTATATCAAATTTACTGCTGCTTGTGTCAAATACCAGTACTGTATAGCATGTTACTATGATACAGCATTTGCCTGAAGCAGCTGCTCTAATTTTCAGTTAATAATCAGACTATGCTTGTGGGGTCAGTGTAAGTTCTAAATAATGTCAGAAATCTGGAATGAACCTGTATGACTCTTGCTCAGAAATATTTTCTTTGTATGAGTACTGATAAGACATGATGGCGCTGCGGGTTAAACCACAGAAGCCTGTGTGCTGCAAGGTCAGAAGGCCAAGCAGTCGCAAGATCGAATCCACGTGACAGAGTGAGCTCCCGTCACTTGTCACAGCTCCTGCCAACCTAGCAGTTCGAAAGCATGTAAATGCGAGTAGATAAATAGGTACCACCTTGGTGGGAAGGTAACAGCGTTCTGTGTCTAGTCATGCTGGCCATGTGAGCACGGAAACTGTCTTCGGACAAAAATGCTTGCTCTATGGCTTGGAAACGGGGATGAGCACCGTGCCCTAGAGTCGGACACGACTGGACTGAATTTCAAGGGGAACCTTTACCTTTACCTCATGAGTAGTAATCTACATATCATTGTACTATTTGACAATGGTGTAGAGGTTTTTTGTTTTTGTTTTTTTAATGTGTGTGTGTGTGTGTGTGTATTACTGTAATACATCTGATTTCTTTTTCTCTCTCTCTTAATTTTTACCTGCTATGCTAGTAAGCTCTGAGAATGACAGAGGAGGACAAGCAAGATCATTCCGCATTTGCACTGGTGGAGGTAAATGATAGCAAATGGAATCATCATCCGAGAATCTTATTGGAACCTGTAGAAAAGAGCACAAACTTCACGGCCTGGGTGGCGAAGAAAGTGAAAAAACAATGCAGTTGCACCCCAGCTAAAGCCAAAGAGCTGATCTTCAGTTTTCTCCCAGTGCTGAAGTGGCTTCCGAAATACAACTTGAAAGAGAACCTTCTGGGGGATGTGATGTCTGGACTGATTGTGGGAATCTTGCTGGTGCCACAGTCCATTGCCTACTCCTTGTTGGCTGGTCAAGAACCCATCTATGGTCTGTATACATCATTTTTTGCAAGCATCATTTATTTTCTGTTTGGAACATCACGTCACATCTCTGTTGGCATTTTCGGTGTACTTTGTCTGATGGTGGGCGAAGTAGTGGACCGTGAAGTACACAGAGCTGGCTATGATTCAGAATTTATCAGTCATCATATGAACAAGTATGTTTATGCAAGTAACAACAGCACAGTGGGGCCTTTGACTGTGAACCAGACATCACACATGTTATGTGACAAAAGTTGCTATGCAATCACCGTTGGAGCCACTGTGACTTTCATCGCTGGGATTTACCAGGTAACAGCCCATTGAACCTGTATTTTACAAAATTCTGATTCATTTCCTCTTGCTGCCTTCTGAGGTGGGTGTACAAATTTTCCATTGGATTAGTACTATATAGTTTCTTCAATTAATAGTTAAAAATAAAAGGGTAGCTATTCAAAACCATCCATCTTTCTTGTGGATTTAATTCCCTTGTACCTCTCCTGCACATCTATTTCAGGAAACGTTGCGTAGGTTTCAGCAGAAGCTGCTCCCATTTGGTCTGCAAATTTGATGAACTGCTTTACCCTTGACAACCCATGTTCAACAGAATTCTATCTGGTCATTCCATCACCTACTATAGTCACAGACTCTATTAAAGAGGTGGGGTGAATGAAGGGTGGCCTGTTGGCCACATACAGTACCCAGTTGTCGCGTTTAGTCGCAAAGTCGTGTACGACTCTTCATGACCCCTTGGACCAGAGCACACCAAGTCCTCCTGTCTTCCACTGCCACCTGGAATATGGTCAAATTCATGTTGGTTGCTTCAATGACACTGTCCAACCATCTCATCCTCTGTCGTCCTCTTCTCCTCTTGCCTTCACACTTTCCTAACATCAAGGTCTTTTCCAAGGATTCTTCTCTTCTCATGAGATGGCCAAAGTATTGGAGCTTCAGGATCTGTCCTTCCAGTGAGCAGTCAGGCTTGAGTTCCCAGTACCCATTACATCTGCCCCATACTGCAAAACAATTTAAAATATTTGTAATTTTTTTTCCTGTAAAAGGTCTCTTGTCTTCTGTAGCGACATGGGGCAATTTCTCTATATTGGAATCCCCATCAACTGTTTTAAGCCTGGGTTGTTGTTTTTCCAAAGTCAGAAATAATTTTGCTTCCTGTGGTCATTAGTTGGGCCTTTAATAAGATAATGGGCGTCTAAGGTGATTCTGGCCCTCCAACCTCCAGGAGTGAGCACGTGTGCCATCCAGACACCTGGAAATTGCCTGATCCTGTTACAAAGTGATAAGAGCAGAGCTGGTGTCATTAATGTGCTGCAAGTGTCTTTTCCATTCCACTTAAATGTGTTGTTACCCCACTCTGTCCACCTCCTCTCACAGCATGTGCATGAAAAAAACTCTTTCCCCTCCACCTGCCCAGCTCGCTCGTGTAAGGCCATTGGTTGTTTAATGTGAAACCACACTTTAGTACACAGGCTTGGATAAAATATTAGGGTAAGACCACAAAACTCTGATGTAACATTAGACAATTCAAATTAATGTTAAATAGCTACCGTATTTGCCGGCGTATTAGACGACCCCCCAACATTTCCACTCAAAATATAGAGTTCATGGC